AAAAAAAAAAAAAAAGAAAACATTAAAAAATTAAAAAAAAAAGAATTTTATGGAAGTTCCATAATATAGGATGGTCGCTGAAAATTCCAACCGTCCAGTCCCAGGATTGGTTTCTCAGGCATCCAGCCCCCATCCTGAGCCACCCACCTGGGGGTTCACCAAGACTCATCTCATTAGCATAAACTCAGGTGTGGTTGAAAGGGGTTTATATTGAATAAAAAAGATCCTCCTCTCATCTCCTACCACTCAGGAATTACAAAGATTTTAAGGGGCTCTGTTATATCAACATCACACAGATATTTCTATACGTCCATTGGAAACTCACTCATTCATCAACAAAGATTTATGAGTGCCTCCTATGTGAGCATAAATGCCCTCCTCCAATGGGGATTTTTCTCTAGATGCAGTGACTTCATCTGAATGGGATATTCCCACTGTCTTCAGACTACCGGATTCTCAGCAACTTCCTTGAGGTGACAGGCTGCCCAGTTTTCATGGGGTTTATCTCCCATGCTCTGGCATGTGTGTGTCTTAATGAGACATACAGTGTATGTACCTTCTCCTTCCCACTTTTTACACATTATCACCATTATGTCATACATGCAGTTGGCCACGGTGGAATCCATGGGGTATTGAATGATGATCTTGGTCTGAAACGGAGTCATCAGCGGGCCTCACTCACTCTGAAAGCTCTAAGGAAAAATGAGTGCCTTGCCTCTTCCAGCTTCTTAGAACTGTGGTTTCCTTGTCCTGTGGCCTCATCACTCCAATATCTACCCTCTGTTTGTTTGTTTGTTTGTTTGTTTGTTTTTTATATCTTTATCTTGAGAGAGATGCAGAGAGCAAGGAGCAGAGAGGTAGGAGCAGAGAGAGAGGGAGGGAGAAAAAATCCCAAGCAGGCTCTGTGCCATCAGCACAGAGCCCGATGAGGGGCTCGAACTCATGAACCATCATAGCCTGAGCAGAAACCAAGAGTTGGCGGCTTAACTGACTGAGCCACCCAGGTACCCCTACTGCCTGTTTTTATGTCACCTTGTCTTCTGTGTGTGTGTGTGTGTGTCTTCTCCTCTTTGGTCTGTCTCAAATATCTGCCCCCCGTCTTCTCAGAATATTAGGACATTTCCCATTGGTTTTAGGGCCCACCTGGATACATGGATCGGTCATTCTAGATGCCAAGGGCTGCGTTGATTTCATCCATCAAGGAGACCAGCTGAAATTGGAGTTGCCCTGCTGGTGTCCTGTCTTTCCAGCAGTGAGCCTTGTGGACATGGGGACAAACGTGAGGCAGTGGATCTCAGTTTTCCCCAGGGAGGTGGGGTTTCTTGAGATGATGGAAACCCATGACCAGGACCCTACAGGAGGGAATCTTAGATCCTGGCTCTCTCAGTCACCACCACCCTACTCCAGCTCCTCCCTGCTCAAGTCCTCAGAAACCCTTGATTTAGGGGCAGCTGGGTGGCTCAGTTGGTTAAGCGTCCAACTCTTGGTTTCAGCTCAGGTCATGAGCTCACGGTTCGTGAGTTCAAGCCCCACGTCTGACTCTGTGCTAACAGCATTGAACCCGCTTGGGATTCTGTTTCCTTCTCCTTCTCTTTCCTTGTCTCTTCCTCTTAAGTAGGCACAATGCCCAACATGGGGCTTGAACCCACAACCCTGAGATTAAGAGTTGCATGCTCTTGGGGGCGCCTGGGTGGCTCAATCAGTTAAGCGTCTGACTTCGGCTCAGGTCATGATCTCGCGGCTTGTGAGTTCGAGTCCCGCGTTGGGCTCTGAGCTGAGAGCTCAGAGCCTGGAGCCTGCTTTGGATTCTGTGTCTTCCTCTCTGTCTCTGACTCTCCCTTGTTCACACTCTGTCTCTCTCTCTCTCCAAAGTAAATAAACATTAAAAAAAAAATGTTAAAAAGGGGCGCCTGGGTGGCTCAGTCAGTTAAGCGCCTGACTTCAGTTCAGGTCATGATCTCACAGTCTGTGAGTTCAAGCCCTACATTGGGCTCTGTGCTGACAGCTTAGAGCCTGGAGCCTGCTTTGGACATGTGTCTCCCTTTCTTCTCTGCGTCTCCCCTGCTCATGCTCTGTCTCTCGCTCTCGAAAATAAATAAACATTAAAAAAAATAAAAAGAGTTGTATGCTCTTCCAACTGAGCCAGCCAGGCTCCCCAAAGCCACTTCTTTAGGTATTCTTTCTTCTCTCACCTTCCCTGAAATAAATTACCCGCCCTCCCCCCGCCCCGCCCCCCAGGCTGTTCTCTGGCCTTATCACCTTTTTGTCATCTACTGACCTCCTAGTCACAGATGTACCACGAACAGGTCATAGATGGTCTAGAGGTATTGATTCCCTTGACTCTCAGAGTGGCCTGGCTGTCTCTGTTTGTGGCAGGCTTATCTAATTAGCTCTGTGAGCTGCAAAAATATCATCATGTTTCTATTTGCTCCATCACGAGAAACCATCTGGGAGACACTAAGAGCTGCAATGTTGATGGTGCCCTCCACCCCAACCATCTTCTCACTTTCCCACATCCCTCTGACATCAACCACCTTCCACCTTACTTTCTCAGCAACCTCACCATCACCTTTTCTTAACTTGATAGGAACCCCCAACTGCACACCCTCTCTTTCCTTTGGATATGACTCCACAGTCCATCATTTCAATAATACTCTTGCCATGTTGCCTGTCTCACACTCTTCTGTCTTTGTAAGGCCCCAGTCTTGGAGAAGAAAAAGCCCACCTGTCATGTTCTGTTTTGTTTTCCTGAGCTTGTCTCTAAAGCAAGTGAGCATTACTGGAGAAAGTCTCGTTACAGGGCAGAGTGGTTCCACCCTGAATATGTGATGGCCCAACTCCACGTGCTCTGGGCATTGCCCACAGTCCCACTGCTATCACCTGGTCAACTCATTGTCATTTCCGTGGTGACAAGTGCAATATTTTTACCCTCTTCAATCTCTGACACCCTTTTATGCCTCCAGCCATGCATTCTCAGCCTATGATCTGCCCCCTTTGAGAGATAATAAAAGCCATCCTCTGGAAAGCCCCTCAATGTCCTACACTAAAACCACAGACCTGACTCTCTTTCCAGGACTACCTTCCTCTAACAATTGCAAAGTTGTTCTTCACCGTCCTCTGGAAAGCCCCTCAATGTCCTCTACTAAAACCACAGACTTGGCTCTCTTTCCGGGACTACCTTTCTCTAACAATTGCAAAGGTGTTCTTCTCAACTCATGCCAAGCCTTCATGGCTTTTTGATTTTTTAAAAAAAAAAATTTTTTTT